CAAGCTGGGAAGCAATTCTGTCGTTTAGACTGAAATTTCAGACAGAGACACGGTGGCGTTTATTGGTGTAAAGGAGTTTGTCTGCCTGCAATGTGTTTTTTCAAAGGGTTTATTGTTAAAGTGATTCTCCTCCAGCGCCTCCACTGTTGAACAATGGGTCTTAAAGGGGATTTCTTTTGTCAGTCAAACAGGTCAGTCATCAATAGCAGAAATGCAAAGATCCCTCAAACCCATTTAAGGTCCCTGGAAAGCCTGCCTGCCGTGTGTAACCTTCCTTTCTTTTTTAATGGCTGTGTAGGGAAATATTTGAGTCTTTCCTCCATTCCTGTCTGGACCCCCTTTTCACAGGACCTGTGGGTTGGATTTCATATCGAGAAGTAGCCGGTGTTGGCCATAGAGCAAAAGTACAGCATCATCCGAGATCCACAAGGCATTGATACGTTTATCAATGTTTAACAGTGGGTTGATTTATCTCCTCTGTGATTTGAAGACTGAGAGAGAGCAGCCTCCCTCTTCAAAACTGGACGCATCTCAAATTATTTTGATAATAAGAGATCTCAAGACGACTTTTTGTCATAGAGTCAAGTCGAGATCAGTCTCCCCCTACCTGCTGCTCTCCAAATGGGTTGCACTACCATTCCTATCAGCCACAGCATTGTCAAAACCAGCTCCTCTGCACACGAAGGCATTCCTTTAAAACAGGGGTAGGCAACCTTTCCCCTTTAAGGACCGAGGGACTTCAGCTCCCAGAAGTCTCAGCCATGTTGGCCATTAGTCCCATGTTGGCCAATAGCTCCTGGGATTCTGGGAGCTGAAGTCCCTCGGCTCTTAAAGGGGAAAGGTTGCCTACCCCTGCTTTAAAAGGTTATAGTGGCTCTCTTTCATATATTGCAGGCTGGATGCTCTTCTTTCCAAATCGCATTGTCTGTGTGAGAGAGACAAAGCACCCCTTCCTGATACCTAATAAGTTATTTTCCTTGGGATCAGAGAGGATTAAAGGCGAGGAAGTGGCGGGAGAGACTACACACGGCTCAGAAAGGATTTCATTCTTATTCTGCATGACTCAGGGAAATTGTTCTCCCTTGAACAGGTTACATGTAGATGAATGGTGGGTTCCGGCAGGGAAGAAGAGAGTATAAGAAATAATGCTGCTGCCTCCAGTCCTTGAAGCAGAAAGCAGGGGGCAGGTTGGCAGAGTCTGTCCTCCCCCAGAAAAGAACTGGGGTCGACTTCAGCAGCTTTTACCCTTTTGTTGGCAATGGAAAGGTCCATAGGGAGCGAGGATGAAACCCATGGAATCTTTACCCCTAAGAAAAATGGGAAGGGATTTTTTAAAGAAGTCGACCTTTCTTAAAAGTGGGGAGAAAATCCTGAGCAGACCTGCCTCTATTCAAGCCTTGATCTGATAGGCCCGCCTCGGGGTTGCAGACGGCCAGAAATAGTGCAAATTGAGTACACTTTTAGGGTTAGGGTTAGTGCTAGGGAATAATGGGAATTGCTTTTTTCCCTGAGACATTGAGCTTTCTCTGTCAGAGAGCTCTGGTGCCACAATAAAATACAGTTCTCATGATTCCCTAACCCTAACCCTTAAAGTGGACTCAATTTGCACTATTTCTGGCAGTCTGCAACCCCCCTAAAACATGCTTTCGCTCAGACTCCAGAGCAGGGGTAGGCAACCTTTCCCCTTTAAGGCCCGAGGGACTTCAGCTCCCAGAATCCCAGAAGCTATTGGCCAACATGGGACTATTGGCCAACATGCCTGAGACTTCTGGGAGCTGAAGTCCCTGGGCCCTTAAAGGGGAAAGGTTGCCTACCCCTGCTCCAGAGAGTGAACGGTGGAGGGAAAGGGCAGCACCGCCTAGGATCCTTCTTGGGAAAGGCGGCTCTCCAAAAAGTGGTGGTTGTCATGCCCTTCCTTTGCACAGCGAATGCCCCCTGGAGCCCAGCTTGTGGACCAAAGGGAACAGGGGACCGAGGAAAAGAGTCATGCCAGGCCAGGGTCAGGATATGCCCTAACCAGAAATGAAGACAAGGGACAGCGAAATGGAGGATATTCCAGAAAAAGGGAGGACATGACCCCAGAAAAGCTCTAAACACTCCTACATTTCTACATTCATGCTTCTTAGTTCTGCTCCAAATGGAGGACATTTTAGGACTCCTGCTGGAAAAGGAGGACGTCCGGCTATCCTGGTCAGGGTGTAAAACTAGGGAAAAGTCCCGATTCCCTTCCTGTCTCCTCGGTTTTTGAATGGAAATGGAGTGCCGGCCCCTCATGCTTTTCTTAGCGGCTGCATGGCCTTCGAGAGGAGAAAGGCACACGCCAGTCAAACCGAAGTTACTCCGGGAGCCATTTAAACTCCTTCCTCTCCAGCCCACGACAAGAAACAGGCTCCGAAACCTTGCCCCCATGAAATCTCGAGGATATTCCCTCGGGAAGACATGCATCTGAGGAAGTGGGCTGAAGTCTACGAAAGCTCCTGCTACCAGCTCCTTGCTTCCAAGATCTCTTTGCAGACTGATTTTCCAGGCAAACACTGCTAAAGTCTTTGCACTCAGGAAGAGTCACTCTTGTAAAGAGGCAAGCTTTCCAGCTCTCTTCAGAGAACCAATCTCTTTAATGGCTTGAAATTTGCCAAGAAAACCCCATAACAGGGTCTCCGTAAGTCGGAAGCGACTTGAAAGCACACAACAACAATAAAAAACATCATTATATCGTTGTTCCGAAGTTGTGAGGCTACGTGATTTTATAAATGCGTTGAAGACAATTTGAACTGAGATTCTCACACACAAACGACTTATAGAAATGACAGATTTATAGGTCTGTCTCTGGACTTTCCACTCCACCAAAAGCATCTGAGGAAGTAGACTCAAGTCTAGGAAAGCTCCTGCTACCAACTTCTTTCAATCAGTTTGGGCCTTTGCAGACTGCCAGAAATAGTGCAAACTGAGTCCACTTTTAGGGTTAGGGTTAGTGCTAGGGAATCATGGGAATTGTTTTTTTTTCCCCCTGAGACATTGAGCCTTCTCTGTCAGAGAGCTCTGGTGCCACAATAAAATACAGTTCACATGATTCCCTAACCCTAAAAGTGGACTCAATTTGCACTATTTCTAGTCTCAAAGAGGCTACAAGGTCTCTTTCCGCGTTGAAGAGCCTTGTTGTTCTTTGTTGTTGTGTGCCTTTAAGTCGTTTCTGACTTATGGCGAGCCTAAGGTGACCCTATCATGGAGTTTTCTTGGTAAGATATATTCAGAGGAGGTTCACCATTGCCTTTCCCTGAGGCTGAGAGAGTGTGACTTGCCCAAGGTCCCCCAATGGGTTTCATGGCTGAGCTGGGAACTGAACCTAGTCTCTAGAGTAGCAGCCCAACACTCAGACCACTACGCCACACTGGCTACTGCGAGCCTGTTGTTGTTGTTATGGTTGTTGTTGTTATGTACATTCAAGTCATTTCTGAGTTGTGGCGACCCTAGCATGGGATTTTCTCGGCAAGATCTAGGCAAGCCTAAACACTAAAGCAGGGGTAGGCAACCTTTCCCCTTTAAGGGCCGAGGGACTTTAGCTCCCAGAAGCCTCAGCCATGTTGGCCAAAAGTCCCATGTTGGCCAATAGCTCCTGGGATTCTGGGAGCTGAAGTCCCTCGGCCCTTAAAGGGGAAAGGCTGCCTACCCCTGCACTAAAGTCTGAGGCTGTAAATCGGCTTTAAAATAAATAAGTGAAATAAAGCACCAGTAAGTGACATGCGTGAGGATGGATGTGCATGGGGCAATGGCTCTACTGGTGAGGAGAGAGGGGGTTGAACTGGAACTCCTTCACTTTAGTCCTTTGCCATGCGTTTCAATAATGGATCATCGGGATGGGGAATTTGGAGTTGGGGGAGGAAGAGAAGGAGAGTGTTTTTTCCTTTGGTCGGATTTGGAAGAGGAGGACGTCGCGCAGCGTCAAGGGAGGGAAGGGAGGCAAACAAGGGGGCCGGCCCATTGTCCAGAGAGGGTGCATTTTTGTCAGCCCACTGTTGGTTGCTATAGCGAGGACGCAAAACCAAACAGAAGAGCACACACAGCTCGCCTCCCTCGACTCTCCCCAGATCCTTTGAGGAGCGGGAACTGCCCTCCCTCCTCGTCCTGGCCAAAATAAAAGCGCCAGCCCTCTTCCAAGGGAGCTAGCTGTCTGGCCTCAAAACTAATGATGGGGGGGGGGGG